TATCTTCACTTTTCTGCCCTTGTTTGATTTTACTAGGTGGGAGGTCACTGGTAATTATCTGCTCTTGTCAAACCTAGGAGACTCGGTGAGAAGCCAGGTCACCTGTGATTCTGATTAAAGTCCTGGGCGTGCACACCATCGCATATACATGTGTGCACACACGGGCTGCATACACGGAGAAGCAGCAGGCGATTGTGCAGCATTTCATTACGCTTCTGATTTGGTCATTCATCATGTCACAGCGAGGTCACAAAACAGCCGACACATGTTTATGTCTGTGGAGACTATTTGAGCCTGTGTGTGTGTGTGTGTGTGTGTGTGTGTGTGTGTGTGTCTGTGTGTTCAGGCTTTTTTCCTCTTTTTTGATTATTTTTTCATCTCAAGCTGAAATGACAAAGACAGCCTTAGATGACTCAAATGAAAAGGGTAGATTATTAAAAGAACTTATTCTTGACTTGAGTAATTTGCATGTTCGCGATCTAAATAGACACACCTTTTTCTCAGGAGGCAGCGGACATCAAACTGGAGTAAATATCACAATTAACATCTTCTTTTAATTAAATGTTGATTTTTTTTTCTACTTCCTGCTTACTAGGATGTTGCATTTTTACATTATGGATGAAATATCTGAGTTGAAAAGTGTTTTGTTTTTGTTTTTCTCTCTCTTTCATTGCAGCCGCATATTCCAGCAGTAGAAACGGAGAGATCAAAGCGTTGAAGGCTGCAAACAAATAATGAACAAATGTACAAATGTTGTCTGGCTGAGACTGTGTGACAAGAACACTGATTTCTATTCTTAAAAAACAACAACAACACAAGCCATGATTATGATGTGTATGATACGTGTTGGGGTTTTTTTAAAATAAAAAATGATTCAGGTGTAAAACCAAACTCCAAGGGCATCATTAAAAGATGCTTCCACACAAATGTATTTTAATATATGCACCCCTCAGATGAATGTTAACCATGCTGCATAAATTCCCTCCTTCTTGGTGAGCTAATGAATGAATGGACTGCTTGTGAATGTCCCACTGTGGGTATTGTGAGACAACAATCGGATGGTTCTGTTCAGAGCGACCAACGCCAAACACGCAGACAGATCAAAGCTCTGCTCTAGGTTCAGTTCAGTAACCTCAGTGATGCTCTGTCTCTATAGATCAGTCAGGGAGATGTGCAACAGATGGAAGGTGGTGTCTCCCACAAACAAACATTCTTATATAGCAAATAGCTTATAGTAATGTCTTGGTAACTGCAAAATGTTCCATACATTTACCAACATTTTAAACTAACAGGAGGTTTATGTGGGAGTTCATAGCAGAAGAGGTGTTTCTGCATAAGGCCTAACACCCAAGTCCCCTGTGTTTAATAACACTTACATGCATAACATGCATAATCTAAATATAGCATAAAAATACTCTCAGAAATAGTGTGTTTTTCTAACAAAAATATATAAATAAATAAAAAAATAAAATCAGCTTTCAGAGACCTAACATGGTTCCTATTGCCATTGCTGTACTGCCTCCCAGTGGTTAAACAATGTTATGAACACTTGTTGAGGCTTTAAGTTTACATTACAGTTTTTTCCTGAGTGCTTAAACCCTAACTGTGATTCTTATAGCACAAAATTTCTAAAACTATTAATACTAAAACCACTCACTGAGTTTGCAAAACTAAAAGCACAAACACTGCTTTGCACTCAGTTTGCCATTTTGTAACACACACTTTGCAAAACTGTAGGTACAATCCACTGCACAGCACTCTTTTTGCAGAACTGTAAACACAACTCACTGCTTTACACTCAATTTCCAAATGATCAACGCACTCCTAGCAAAACTATACACATTTATGGCTATTATTTACACTACTTTGCCAACTGTCTGGCACACTGTCACATGTGAAAACTGTTTTAGATAATTAGTTCACTTTGCAATCAGCACTATAAATAAGCTACAGGTAAGCTGTCTGTGTGGAGTACAATGGAGGGAGCAGGAAGAGTGAGAAGAGTGAGAAGTAGAGGAGGCCGAGGAAGAGGATGTGGAGGTGAAGAAGTAGGACAAAGAGGACGACAAGGAGGTGAAGTTAGAGGAAGAGGTCAAGGAGGAGCAAGAGGAGGATGAGGAGGGGGGAGAGGAAGGGTAAGAAGAGTAAGAAATAGAATTGCTGATCACATCAGAGCTACAATAGTGGACCATGTAATCAACCATGGAACGACCCTGAGGGAAGCTGGCCAATGGGTTCAGCCTAACTTGAGCCGCTACACTGTAGCAAGCATCATAAGGACATTTCAAAATGAGAATCGGTTAGTACAGTCACTTTGCACTAAGACTTGTAGCACTGCCATATGCTAATGAGAAACACAACAATACCATAGATGTAAAAACACTGAAATTGTTCCTTTACAGAATTGCTAGACGACCAGATGCTGGGGGCAAAACATACAAAATGTGAGCATTTCTGTATTGGGTCGTGTACTTGCCCGCAACAAAATCCGAATGAAACAAATCTACAGAGTACCTTTTGACGAGGAGACGTGGCAGGAGCATTAACTATGTGTGCAGCTATAAGTCAAAATGGTGTTGTTCACCATCATGCAACCCTGGGCCCATATAACACTGCACACATTATTACATTCCTGGACGCCTTACATGACATGCTCACTAATGTTCAGAGACCAGAGCAGACCAGATACGTCATCATATGGGACAGTGTTAGTTTCCATAGGGCTGCTTTGGTCCGCAACTGGTTTACAGATCACCCACTCTTCACTGTACTCAACCTCCCCCCATACTCTCCATTCTTGAATCCAACTGAAGAGTTCTTCTCTGCCTGGCGCTGAAAGGTCTATGACCGTCATCCCCATCAACGCATAGCCCTTTTACAGGCAATGGAGGAGGCATGTGGGGATATTGACTAGGAATCATGTCAGGCCTGGATACACCATTCCAGAAGATAATTTCCCCGGTGCCTTGGACTAGAGGACATTGCATGTGATGTAGATGAAATTTTGTGGCCGGACCCAGAGAGACGACACAATGTAGACTGATTTCTTTTTTTCCTCACTGAAATTACTATTTTGTTTTGACTTCGAAATAAACACTTGTGTTTGTTTTGATGTGTGTGACTAAACACCAGTACTTGAAGTTCGGATCCCTCTGTGTTTACGGACCTATGACAAAAGTATGACCTCAAATTGACATGGCCTACCTTGTGCACAGAAAAGCAAAAGCCAGTTGTGGTTTTTATTCATGCCATCAGTGTGTAGTTGGTGCATTGTGTGCTTATTAATGTGATGGCTTGTGTTAACTGTTTGATATAAAAAAAATACCATTTTTACAAAGGTTTGGAGAGTTATGCAAGGTTTATTAGCTTTTGCAGGACAACTACAATGTTTTGCTGCTTTGGTGAAGGGTTTTCTTAGTTGTGTGTAGAGTTTTGCAAAAACAGCCAATAGTTACAAAAAATGTGCATAAGCCATCAGAAAAAACTGTAATGTACTTTGTTTTAGAGAGCAGGGGTTCTTATGAGTAGTTTAAGGTGCTTTTGGTTAATGTTTGCAAACTGTTTGTTTAGGTCAGCAATTGGCAACCTTTAATATCAAAAGAGTAAAAAAAAATATGTTATACAAAAACAAATCACTTTTTTAAGCATACATGAACATATTGACAACACAAATAGGTGGACATCTTTAAATCTTCCACCATACTCTGCAGGAACTGTTGATTTCTGATTATTTTCATTACCACGAGAACAAACGATTTGTTTAGTGGAACAAGAAAATACCTTTTAGCATGTTTAAGGCATGCCTTTGTTCATACGTATTCAATTTAATGTTGAAGTCCAGCTGCAAATCAAGCACATCGGTGAACTGAAACAGCTCTGTCACACTAGAATGAAAATAGAACAACAACCTTGCGGTGGTATAGTGATTGATTTTTGTGCTGTAAGAAACCAATTGCATGCAGATGCAGCAACCAACTTATCAAGATCGAGCATGCAACACCCTCACACTCTGAGCAACTATTTTACATTGCAAAGGTTTCATTGTGGGAGGCAACCTGTTTTCTCAGTCACAGTCTGACTCACACTGACTGCAAATAATTGCAATCTAATTTATAAATGCAGATAGGCCGATGACAGTCTGTGCTGTTTTTACTCAACTGGTTGTAATCTGGTTATATTCTTATATAAAAGCAATGTCATTTTGCAATTAAATTGCTGTCCTGCCACAACTATGTCACTACATGTGCAACAATTTTATCACAGTAAATCTCCATATTATCGCAAACTGCTTGCATGTAATTGCCAACTTGACACCTGTTAGAAGACTGATTCCATCTTATTGCCATTTTATCAGCATCTTGATGCACCAAAAATGACAAATGAGTGTGAGTGGTTGCAGACTTTGTCCCCATCTTTGAAAAGACCATATAAAGTAAAATAAGGGTTGGTATAATTGCAATAGAAGATTCTTGTTTATTTTTTGTAACAACATTTCTTCAGCTTACTTTAACTTGATGTTTTCCCATGATTGTCCAAGCCCCACCTACAAGTGCTCTGCAGCATACAGATTAAGAACCACTTGTTTTAAGAATGGTGCTTTTTTTCTTGTGCTTTTTTGTGCAGATTTAGAAGTTTTAAACATGAGTGAGGCATCTATTGAAGTTAGTTTTCTTACGCTCATCCTTTTCAGGGTCATGGGGGGCTGGGGGGCAACCAGAAAGACAATCATTCACACTCACATTCACACCTATGGGCAATTTAGAGTTACCGATTAACCCAACCCCAATAACTGCATGTTTTGGACTGTGGGAAAATGCCAGTGTGAACCCACACAGGTGGTGGATTCACATCCAGAACCTTCATGCTGGGAGGCGACGAAATTTTGTGCTATTTTATCATATTATCCCCCTGATTTCAATTTTTTTATTTGCATACTACAATAAAAAAATAAAATTCTGAAAGTTGCATTAAAAATAGTTTAAAAGGCCAGTCCACCCAGATTTCAGGTGAACCTTTTTGCAAAGACAATCTTTTATTGAGGCACTTGACACAAGCCATGGAATGTACATATCAAATACAACAAATTTAAGGTCTTTTTCACATTCTTGCATCTGTAAACATGATAAAGATAATACATTCAGACAGTAAGTCCATGTTGTCCCTCATACAGGAGAGACTTGTGAGTGAGGGGAAAAATATCAACACCTCACTCAGAGTAGTGTACAGTACACAACAGCTACACAAAGTGTACAAAACAGCAGTGGAGTCAAATACAAAAACTACTGACCGACTCCCTTTAAAGTAACCCTTCATGCATGAAGAGCGTACGTCTCACAGGAGTAGATCAGCAAAAATAGTAGCATGTAGACAAGCTGCTCATGTGCTCTCATTTGACCTGAAACGCATCTATTTGGTCATTTCACATGTGCGTAAGAGGTAAGTAAACTAGGGTTCAGGCATCTAAGTCTATTTCGCATCACAAGAACACATCTCGACTTTAATAGATATATAGGTACATTATCAGTTAGCAGGCATGTGTGGAAGCAGAGTCTACAGATGTCTGCTTTGGATTATCACACTCTAGGATGTAAACATGTACTTCTTGAGAACTACTGGTGGTACTTATGGTCCTTGGCAATCACAAAAATACTTCAGTTTATCTCTTTTTATTCGTGCTGTTTTGTTTTCCCGTCCACTTGGCTCTAAGGAAGTATGTGTAGATGCCTGCTTAGTAAAAACTTCCAACAACAAACCAAACATAGCAAAATATCTCCAGTGTGTGGAGGCGGATAAGGCTGCTGTTGGGCTACAGTTCATCAGCAGGTACAGAATGAGGCTTGGGTATGAAAGCTACGGCTCATGTTTTGAAAGCGCTCACCCTGTTCTCCATGTGGAGCAGCCTCTGCCAAAACTACACCTCTATCCTAAATACAGGGCTCAGCTGGTGCTCACATTAGTAAGGGTTGGTGAATATAAGGCTGTAGTTAAAGGAATACTCCAGCAAAATCTAGATTTTAAGTGTTAAGACATTTTCTGCCTGTTGGCTTGGACTCGTATTTTGTATCCACAGTGTTTTCTATGCAAATATATAACAAATACTAAGGATTTCCTTTTACTTTTTTATAGGTTTCGTTATTTTCCCGAATGTGTAATGGCTCAGTCATACTTGAGTATAAAATAGGATGACAACCTCCTTGCTGCTAAAAAAAATCTGTGATTGCACAATGATTTTTTTTCACATTTAGTAACCGATTGCACCTGGTTACCCACAGGCTGAGTGTGTAACACTTTCAGCCTGTGGGAGGCTACTGGGAATTGCAAGACAGCTGCACAGGTCACCTGATGGGAGACAACCTGTCTCCAAACAATCACGGTCCAACTCAGACTGATTGCAATCACTCTCAGACAGATTTCTAACACACTGCAGTCAATCCGAGTACGTCTGAGTCAATGAGCACAAGTTCTCTGTGGACTTGAACAAACTCATTGCCAGATCTATTCTGGTCATTTCCTCCTGAGACTCAACTCATTTATTTATGTCCTCTGTAGTGAACACGCAAATCACAAAACATATTAAACTGAAAGATTTCATTCTCAGGACAATATTTCTATACAAAAAGGAAGGTTGCCAAGCAACAGTGTTATTTTGCAGTTAAATAACCGCCCTGCTGCAAATACGGGACTTTTTGTTGAAGAATTTCGGTTTCAAATCTATGAGGTTCTGGGTGGAGTCAGAATGTATGTAGTAAATGTGAATTTCTGATTAATGTGAGTTTCTGTTTATGCAGATGGCAACAAATTTGCAACAGAGGGCAACAGTTACAATTTTTGCCAATTTATCAGAGTTAATTAGCATATCATCACAAACAGCTTTTTTGCTGTCATTAAACTTATTCAGTCACAGATAGCAGATAGACAACAGTCTGACCCATCATGTTGCTGTTTAATCATTGCCTTGATGTACCAAAGTTGGTTTGAAGGTGAAATCTGACTGTAAGATGTGGTCTCGGTCTTTGAAGCAACCATTTCAGTGACAACAAGGTTGCATGTTTTGCTTTTCTTGATGTGATGCTAGCATAAAGAAGGCTTTAAAACACTCTTCAGACCATTATTTGCTATATATGGACATAACTACGCCTGCATAAACTCTTTGTACTGAGCCATATTGTTGAAAACAAAATGTTTTGAAAGTTCTGAGCATGGACAGTGAAGTTAGGATTATGCTGCAACATGTGTGACAATGGGGCATTTCAAGCCAACAGGCAGGCAGGTTCATCAAGTTAATGTTTGGTCCACTCTAGACAGCCATTTTTAGAGTATTCCAGAAAGAGTACTGTCAGTCTGTCCTCTTGTTGATTGAATTTATGTTATACATTATGGTCTGGTCCCACCATTTTATACCTGTGTAATTCCAGTGTATTAGCCTGTCCCATTCTGTGGAGTGAGGCTCTCCCAAGGGCAGATGATCTCTTTGGTTCCCACTCTTTCCCGAGAGACAGCTCTGTTCTCCTCATCCTCATCCTCAGACTCAATGGGGTAGATGCGGCACTCCGGAGGAATATCCACTTTGATCTGAAAAAAGCTGAGAAATGTTTCAGAAAAAGACGAGGTCATCAGGGGCTGATCTGATATTATTTGTCACGTTAGCAACATAAACTTTTACTTTGTGTACCTTAGTAGCCAAACTAGATACAAAGTCTGCATACACAGCCATGACTAAAATACATACATTGTATGTAATATAACAATATTTACATGTGCTGTGTCAGTTAAATAAATAACTGAATATGAGATGACAGTTTTGACTTCCAGCTTTTATGCAAAGATGTTCCCATCATATTGGTTTTGTAGGAACTGTAGCTCCAATATTGCATATGTATGAATTTTTGCAATAAAAACAAAAATAAATAATTGTATTAAAAATTGAATTTCTTTTTCCTTTCTTGCAATTAACAAATAGTCCTAGTGTCCAAGTTACAGATAACAGCCTCTTCCTCGGGCCTGTTCTACAACTATTTCACTTCTTGTTTCAGCGCTTCCACCTAAATTTAAAGTAAAATAAGACTCCTGGAGCGAAAATGATGGAAAACATATGTCTTTCAAAGTAAAAGTCCTGCATGACTATCACGTACTTGCCAATCCGTCTGGGCGGAGCCTGACTAGGTTCATCTGGGCTGATTGGCTGTATGCGGCTGCTTGTCCCGGCAGCTGGATTACATTTAGGTGACAAGCTGGCAAACATAGAGGAGGGAGTGCAGCCACGCTTGAGTAGACGACGCAGGGATAGAGCCATGCGAGACTTGGACACGTTCCCTCCTGCAGATGCTCGGGCCTCAGGGTTCCCTTCACTTTCCCCCTCACTGGCTTCCGCTCGCCGCTCAGAGGCAGAGGTGCTGTCTAAGGCCACGCTGATGGGGGACGGACAGGCTGGGGTGTGGGCCAAAAAGGGAAGAGAGGGCGAGGCGTTGGCGGAGGGGGGGTCAGTCATGCCAGAATAGACAGCGAGGTGGGGCACAGGAGTGGTAAAGCGGCACAGCTGTGAGGTCAGAGGGCAAGAGACACAAGTCAGAGGGCATCCAGACAGATAAATACATGTCTGTGTTTGGAATTTTTTTAGCAGATGGTTCCCTGAATACATCACTGTTCTGTTTACAGACCTAACAAGAGACATAACACGCAAAAGGTTTCATAACATCAACTTCATTATAACAATATAGAGCCCTCTCACTTTCCGTAACCACAGGAAATTAATATTTAGCCTCCAAGACAATCTCACTGTCCGCTCAAAGTAAAGAAAGGTCTGACCAGCATTCAGCTTTGCTGATTCATGATATTAAAGCTCACATTAGAGCACCACACTTTCATCTCAGAGAGCACAGCACTTTAAAAAACATAACATCTGTAACTGAGTAGGGAAAATGGGCTTTGATAGCGTATCCTGATTTTCCAGCTGTTTTTTGTCCTCAGGCTGACATACCCCTGGGATAAATGCCTCAGTGCCTATGATGTCATAACAGTGAGTCCTGCTCCAGATGGAAAAACAATAACAACTTTTTTGTTTTAAGTGATGACGATAACAGTCATCACTTTTATCATCAACCCATGATATCAGTGTTGGTCTCAAAACCCCACAGTGCTGCGATGATTACCCGAGATCTTCATAATGTGTTATCCCATTTGCCTATGATGCGTTTCTTGACTGTCGACTTCAAAGTATTTTAAAATATGTTCTCCCCACTCTGCACAATTGTTTGCAGGTGCCTTGCCTGAGGCACATAAATCTGCTTTTGCAATACTGATAAAATTTTTCCAGAATATTCTTACGAGCTATCACAGGGTCGGCAGTAGCCCAGATTTTTGATTCTAGCTCTCACTGTTGCTTGTTGCCTGCAGCATTTTAATTTTACTTTAAATGGATATCCAACCTAAGCATCACAGGCATTGTGAATGGAGGCACGTTTCTGTTTTATTAGCTAAATCCAGAATTTGTTTTTCTTGCCAAATAAATTTGTAGTACACTCCTTTTAACTTGTTTTGCCCTTAGCTTCAGTTTCCTATTGTTTAACTCTGCTTTTTAGCAAAGGTTAATGTAAGCTATAAAAATATAACGGCAATGCTCATCAGTTTTGATAGGCGGAGAACCATACCTCACTCTATGGTGGAAAAATGCTGTTTTAAAAGGTTAATATGCATTTTAATATCATCTCAATGATCAAGCTGTAGAAACAAGCGTATGTTTACAACAAGTGCAAATGGTTAAGTAAATTTGCAAACTTATGTTGGTCTTAACTTTGCACTTTCGCATCACAAAAAAGCAGGTTTTGAAAGAAAGAAACAATGGAAGGAAGGAAGGAAGGAAGGAAGGAAGGAAGGAAGGAAGGAATTTGAATGCATTGCGCTACAATCGAATTAAATGGAAAAATGAAAACGGTGAATAAATGACGGCTTAAGTCCAAACACATAAGTATGAGGTGGTTTTATGAATGTTTTATTACCTTATGACTGATAACAAAGACAACTCAAAACATACTAAACAACAGTGAATGCACAGAGATGGACAGCACAGTAAATGTATCATGACAAACAAAAAAGCAGACAACACTTACAGCTTACATGGACGTAAATGTCAGCGATGACAATAGATGGCTATTTGTCTTCTTCTTGTAGTAATTTATTAACATGAGTTGCAAAAAAAGGTTGGTTCAGATTTTGAAACATGCATTTCCAAAGACGTCAAACATGTGACTCACACAGAAATATAAAGTATGTTTACATAGAGCCTGATCGATATACGATTTTTAAGACCGATGTGTGTTGATTTGAAAATCGAATATTTTGACACATATCCTAAAATCTACCTATGCAGCATCAATGCACAAACATGATTAAAGTTGTTATGAGGCACAACAACTTCAATTCTTTAAATTTTAAAAATTTTATTTATCAGTCATGACCAATATGGATACCAATAGATCAGCAAACAGCTAATTTCAGCAGATATATCAGCACGCTGATAAATTAGCTGGGCTCTTGTCTATGACTCTTCACTGAAAGGTCTAATAGCAACATATTAGAGATGTTTTCTAATTTATTATATAACATTATATCCTGTCTAAACATATAATGTATTACATGTATTATATGTAACTATTATTCCAATTAGACAAATAAAATTAGTCATTTTTAACTGAGGTGCGACGAGGAGGCGCCTCTTTGCCCTGTTGGCTGAGTTTGCTCATGACCTGTGTGATGTCAACAGGGGCACTGGCGGCCATCTTGGCCTTTTGCTCCTGCTCCTGTTGCCGGATGATGATGGGACTGAGACTGGGCCGTCTGTTTCTTGCATTTTGCTCCAACTGGGAGTCACTGGGATGATGTATGGGGAGGGGAAAAGAAACAGGAACAAGGTAAGAGTTGAAAGTTGAAAATTCAGGATTGTCTTTAAGAGTACGGAGGAGAGACGAGAAAATTTGAGGTTTATGTTATATATTTGTTAGGGTTGTTTAGACTGCAACATTCCTCTTTGCTGTGACTAAGACGTATTTTCTGTTAGTCAAACTAAAAGCTTCAAATAAATCTTCCAACAATGTCTGAGAAAAGCTCCACAAATTCAATGCAAAAAGTGCCTCTTACCTGAACTTGTGTTCCTCGGGACATACGGCCTTCTTCGTTGTTTCCTTAAACACTGGAGATTTTAGGTATCGGCCATATGAGTCCTGCAAAATGCAAAATGCTATCAGTTGGTCCAGTGAGTTGGTCTCTTACAGGTACAGATACAACCCCACCGTTCCCTTGTGATTTAACCATAGACATCCAGGTCTGAAAAGTGAAGCCAATGCAGAAGTGCCTTAAACTTCCTTTCTTTACAGTGGCCAGCAGGGGGCACCTCATCTGGTCACAAAGTTCATATTGTATAAAGGTCAATGAGAACATTATCCTGCTACTTAATCATTTATGACACCAGTTAACATTTTTTGTGAGTTTATGGTCTCAATAAAAGTCTAATCTGATACTTTGTGATGTTTAGTTTCAAATCATGCTCCCATTTAGAGCAAATTACACACGTTGCTATAGCATGGGCATGCATAGCGCCATCAGCTTCACAGTCAGCTCAAACCAAAATCCAAAAAGGTGTTTTAATTTATGCAGTCTCTGCACTGATCACACCTACTGACATGTTTACTGACCTTCTTCATGAGCATGTAGATGTGAGTCTGGGCTGCATCCAGGACGTATCTGTGTGGGTGTTTCAGACCTTTCACTGTGATTTCCATCGTCTTTCCATCGATGTTGATCCATCGTGGAGCACCGCGTGCCAGGAAAGTCCTGAGATCAATGAAAGTGGGAGGAATGAAGAGGAAATGCTTTGACACTTACATGGAAAAACCTCAAAAGCCAGATAAAAACTTCTTCTTCAGTAAAGATGTGAGAAAAAAATATCCACTGCATTGTTTTCATCATTTAATCATCAGTTAAAGTAACACTATACTTGCAGGTAAAGTTCACTACATGCAAACTTCAGAGATTTAAACTGTAATTAATCTAAGGCGTATTATTTCTGGATGATGGCAACCAAAATTTGTATTAATTCTCAGTTTTATTTTAAGTTTTAATCTTTAATCTTTATTAATTAAAAATAATTGAGTGAATTTAATGTTAAAAATAAAAAATAAAAACACTGAATGTCCAACATGTATTTGTGTCACTATTAAACTAATAAATATAACAATTAAAGAGTCATAAATCACTGTCAGTAAACATAGTTGGCGATTTTTAAATCAAATAATACTTTCTTCTCCACTGTCTTCAATATTTACCAGAAGACTAATATATTCTTCAAGAAGTTCTTACTTGTAGATCTGCTCTGCTTTCTCTTTCATTGTCGCAGCAGTGCCCCACTTCAGATCCTCACAACCTTCCCAGAATGCCAAGTTCTCACCTGAGTAGGTTTAGAGAAAATAACCAGATATAAACTCAGATTATTCCTAACCCCTTCTACTGAAGGAAAGCTTAACATCAGGACCAACAGTGACTTTAAATTGCACCAGACTATCATACCGCTGAACTCTTTCTTTAGGAACAGTCTGAAGTCATCTCGTCCTCGAGGGTCTGAAAGGAGCTCTCCAAAGCTGAACGTCCACCTCTCCACACGCATTTTAGTGGGTATTTCCACACTGTACCACACAGATAACAAAAACAAAATATTCTTAATTATTGTCCAAAATCAGTGACTTCTATAAGTATAATCATCTTACGCACTTGGGCATATTCAAAGCCCAGTATGTGACATCATCAGTGAGCCAGGGGTTGCTGGGAAGACACTTGGACAGAAAAGGGTCGTGGCCTTTATAAGTGGCGCAGTATTTCACCAACCTGCAGTGGAGGGAAAAACACGTCACCATCGACCACACTGAAGGAAACGTCTTTAACCATTAATGATGCAGCCACACAGAAACAGTAAAGCAAGTGCAGCCAAGCCCACAGGAGGCATAACTCACATTATCTAATCCCTCATCAGTCAGAGAACAGCAAATACACTTGACAATACATGTTTGTCTACTGTGAAGATTCTCATTTTCTTTTTATTTGCTGGAAAGACACATGGTAAATATATCACAGTAAAAGATTCAAGTGAACTTTCTCCTAGCTAGCCAAAGTATTTTTCTTTTTTTTACTGAGAAACTGAGACTGTTGTGGAGGGCTCCACCAATAAGCTTAAGCAGCCCTCCACAACGGTCCCACTTTCTCATCAGCTTTAACCTGTCTGACCTTTACAGATCACTCAGTGGGGTTATGCTGAAACTAATGTGCGTGTGTTACTTTAAGGCATACAGCTAATGGAGCAGCCAGGGTATAGGAGGGGTACTGGTTTGCTACAGATAGTAGCGAGCTTCTTATATGAGGGACTGTCTTACGCGCCAATGGACACTGATGATTTCACTCTGGGGCGCATGATGGACTGCTGGGTGAAAATCATCTACAGGGAGAGAAATGACAGCCAGAATAACACAGAGCTGCCACTATACGTGATCAATAAAACATCCGAGTGAGTAGAAAAAAACTTACGATCCTTTCGTAGTCATCGGGTGTTTTTGCCTGAGGAAAAATGTATTAAAAGTATGAGTACAGATAATAAGCCATATACTTTATGACTTCACAGTTAGGACACTGTATGTATTTCTGCACAGAAAAAAGCACTGTTTTATACATCACTTCTTTATCATTGTTGGACTCATGATGAACACTTGTGAACACTAACCTTCAACATCATTTCACAACCTGAGCTGAGATTCAGGTACTTTTTTTTTGTTAGCAAGTATTATAGCAAGTGCATTCATGAGGTGATGTGAGTGTGTGCAGATGTGTTCCCAACCAGCTTAAAAGTCTGGGATTTGAAAACATAGCCGTAGGAAATGCCTGCAGAGAAGAAGAAAGGAAAAGAGAAGGCCTTAATTTTAATAAAAGAAAACAGCATACATATCATTTACTGTACCTGCATTAATGCATTAAAGCTTCTTATGGGATATAAGCTGATTGAAAGGAATTATGTTCATGCGGGTCAGGCAGAGACTCACCTGTTACCTCGTGTGCATTTGGATCTATTAGTCTTTCCAGTCCATAGTCCATGGCACTCACTGTCCCTGGCTACATACACATCAACAAAAGAGAATTACACAGTGTTTACCAAAGGACTAATTAATTAAAGCAGATGGCTGTTTTATAATGCTAATCATCAGCGGATAATGTGTCGTACTTCTCATGGCCATCTCAAACAAGAAGAGGCCAATCACCAAATTCACTCTTGGTCATTACGAATACATCTTCAAGTACTTTATTTGTTTCCCACGGGGGGCTTTAAAATGCATTAACTTTAAATCACATTTAGCAGTCATTACGATCAATCTGAACCTGTAAGATGAAGTTTTAAGGACAGCATATGTTATTTACATCAAGGTGTCATTATATTTATTTCTCAACATGAAACATCTGTTTCTGCTTTTATTGAATACTGATTTTTTTTTAGAAAAGGTCAAAAGTTTCTTCCTTTTTAAATTGTGCATCTTAAATTAAGAGTGTGCATATCTGATTTAGTATTTAGAAGGAATGAAATGCTTGAAGGCTGGAAGACGGAAGAAATATCTATCCTTTTTGTCTGAAAAGCTTTAAAATACACAAACCAACAAATGCAAAGCAGTTAATACTCTGATTTTGTAAGTATCAATCGGCCACAGCATTTAAACTTCCTGCCTAATACTGTGTCAGCAGACACAGGAGCCCCTTTTGTGTCTGACAGCAGGACGTTTGATCGAACTGGGATTTAGGAACTTCGGATGGGTTAGTTGTAGTTGTACCTCAAAATTCCCGGCAGAACTTGACCTATCAGCTTTTAACGTTGGTAGCTGATTAATATATAATAAAAGCCGCTGGTTGCTTTATTTTACAGCATGCATATGGAAATCTCAACTGAAGGATTGACAACAGAGCACCCTTGCAGCGATAACTCATGTGCCATGAGACACAAATTAGTGCCAGTGCCAGTGACCCTCATTAGGTCAAAGTCTTCTGTGTATACACTATATTGCCAAAGGATTCACTCACCCATCCAAATTATTTAATTTCAGGTGTTCCAATCACTTCTGTGGCCACAGACATAAAATCAAGCACCTGGCGTGTAGACTGCTTCTGCAAACACTCACAGATCTTAGGAACTCAGTGAATTCCAGCGTGGTACTGTGATAGGATGCCACCTGTACAACAAGTCAAGGCATGAGCAGGCAGAGTGGGGTCAGCAGATACTGAGGTGCATAGTGCACAGAGGTCATGAACTTTCTGCAGAGTTGAGCACTACAGACCTCCAAACTTCACGTGTGCCTTCAGATGTGCTCAAGAACAGCATGTAGAGAGATTCATGGAATGGATTTCCAATGCTGAGAAGCTGCATTCAAGCCTTACGTTACCAAGTACAATAGAAAAGCGTCATATGCAGTGGTGTGAAGCATGCCCAACCTAGACGTGCTCTCTGGAATGATGAATCATGCTTCTCTGTCTGGCAATACAATGGATAAGTAGTTCCAGTGAAAGGAACTGTTAATGCTTCAGCATACCAAGACAATTCTGGACAATTTCATGCTCTCAAGTTTGGCAATAGTCCCTTCCTGTTCCAACATGACTGTGCACCAGGGCACAAAGCAAGATCCATAAAGACATTAAAGAGCAATTCTGGTGTGGAAGAACTTGACTGGCCTGCAGAGTCCTAATCCAAAAGAACACCTTTGGAGCAGAGACCAGGAGCTAGGCCTTCTGATCCAACATCAGTGTCTGACCTCACAAATGGGATTCTGGAAGAATGGCCAAAGGTTCCCATAGACACACTCATAAACTTTATAGAAAACCTTCCAAGAAGAGTTGAAACAGTTATAGCTTCAGAGGATGGGCCGACATCATAATAAACCCTGTGGCTTAAGATTGGGATGTCACTCAAGTTCATACGCATGTGAATGCAGACAAGCAAATACTTTTGGCAATATAGTGTACCTCACTTCTGAAAGGACACAACACAAGTCACAGAGCACAGGCTACAACGTGCTACATTACTGAAAAGGTCACCAGTAGTCAACACAATATTCTTCCTAAAGGCTGAAGTCATAAACAATGAAAAGCACAACTGTTTAACATTATGCACTTAACTGTGTTTTTATTATGGCCCTACTTTATATGATGTGACCATACAGTTTATGGTGACATATATTATGCAACCAAAACTTTAGAAAGACATATTTCTGCAATATGAGAGATGTTTGTGCAGGAAAATCCCAGTAGATCAGCAGTTTCTGAAGTGAGAATATCCTCAAACATCTTTGCACCTAATCAAATGACTGCAAACCAATTAACTCATGGGGAACACATGGGTCTTTGGTTGGGAGCTGTCACTGTCTTTGGTAACTGTTCTAGCTGTAATCCAGCATCACAGCACAAGAAGCTCGATGTGCACAAGGTGCAAACCACTGTACCACTTTCTCCCATGCAGTGTGAAATATTAATCAGTTGTGCCCTTTTCCTCTGACTGGACATGCAGTGGTAATGAGACATCATGGGTAGAGATAATGAGATACCCTGGGAAGTATTGCAGTGTGGTGCAATTTACTTTCTTACTTCTCTGTTTACCTGCAATGTACCAATATCTGCTGTTTACTGTTCAGGCTTGATAACTATATCTGTGCATGTATGCTTATATTATCTCATGTTGTGGGGACATAAATGTGTTTATATAATCACATAGTGAGGCCCAGCTCCTTTTGGTGGCAAAAAGCCATTCTCATTCACGCAAATCATAAAGGACTTGGTTGAGTGACGGCTAGTCTAAGTCTTCAAATATAAATTCACAAACGTCTTCTGTAGTGATGGAAACATGCATGTGTGTGTTCTCACCGGAGGTCTATGAACCACCCAGTAGGCTCTCTCCTGACAGTCAAACACCACACGGTCCGGTTTCTTTCTCTCCTTCGCAGCTCTAAAACCCAACCCAAACACAGAGAGTCATAACACATTGTTACCCTTAACGCTTCCCGACATCACTGAGCTTCCTGCACACCCACCTATACTGCTCTTTAGCTTGCATCACTATAAAATCCCATTTATGATTCATCCACTTGTGAAGATGGTTGTACTGCTCCTGAGGACATAAAACAACACCTCAGTAAATGCCAATAGAGAAAATTAATTGCCGTGGGATTCGTGTCCAATTCTCACCTGCTCGTGCAGCTCCAAGATTCCTTTCTTACGTATGTTTCTCTTTGCCAGGTAGATTGCTTCAGTAACAAAAACATAGATCGATGTTAACGGTAAGTGATTCTTAGTAACAGGATGCATTCAGATACACTCACCATAATCTGTATCCTCAACAGGCCACTGCTGTGTGGGCCAGAAATATGGTGTCTGCAAACAATGAAGGGCAGAGGTGATGATTAGCAGTAAGCGTTTTTGTGAGTGGGATTCATTTCTTGCAGATTTAAGGGTGTTTTTTGTTGGTTGTTTTCAATTTGCAGTCATTCAGGAAACTAAAGCCAGACTAATTTGGGGTTTCACATCATAAAATAAATACGACGGAAATTGGTTTTACCTCGCTTTAGTGGTTTTTGTGTCTTGTAATGGTAAACTCTTTTATTATCTAATCATTGCATGTTACAGCAGAGATGTTAAACCCATTACAGAAAATCTGGCACATGCCGCTTTCTGGAACCAATTTACCAACGGGAAATTACCATGGTCAATAATATTGATAAAATGAATCAGTTAATATATTAAAAATAATGACTGAATGCAGAATTAAATATGTATATCACACTGAAAAAAAATCTCTCAAAAGACTAAAAATATCCCCAAATTTTTCTGACAGTAAATTCTCATTTTTACCAAAATGTACGGGCATTTCTATGTATTGTAAAAATGCAATGCATAGTGAAAAACATCCATAAAAAGTAATATGGAAAATTCCTTTATTTTAAAAATGGTGAATGTTTTTACAAAGATGTTTTTTTTTTTATTATTTCAGTGTAGGGCCTTTCTGTCATTTTTTTGAAGAACAAAAAAAGTATTTAAAAAACCCAATACTCTGCACTGAAAAAATGCAGCACTATTTCAAACTGAAGGAATTTTCCATTTAATTTTTACACATTTTTGAAAATAAAGGTTTCTCACATTTTTACATTTCTGGATGGACAAACTTCCAGGAAGTGCATGATTTTACTTCACAAAGCTCGATCATCTTACATGATTTACCTACATAATTATTCTTAGAAGTTGCTATGTGCTCAGGCTAAGAGACACAGCAACTTTCTAACCTTTACATTAAATGAATTTGATGTACTGATGTGTTTTTATCACAATCTTTTAGGCTTTGCACCTAATAAATTAGCAACTGTTCTGTCGTTTTCTGTTTTCTTATAAATAAACAACAGTCACACTTAAATGACCTTTGCAAGCATTTCAGTTTACATTGCATTTTTGCACGAGTTGTGGAGTCACTAGATAGCAGGAACAGGAGTGCACACTATGCCACATTTGTGTTTCTGCATGACTATGTGCATCCCTTTTTTTACATTTTAACAACATGCAAAAACACTGTTCAGTGTGCAGCAATGAAAACTAAATCTTCCCATAGCCAGAAATACTGTTTTGGAAGATCGTCTGGCTTTGCTGCAGATGAGATTTTGGCTAAGCTTTAAAATGTGGTGTGTTTACCTGGAACCGATACAGGGATGCATCTGGTTTGACCACTAAACGCTTGTGGTCTTGTATAGGGTAGATGTATCCTAACGCCACCAGCATGGAGCCAAAACTCCTCGCCTCTGAATAAAAAAGACAGATTTGCTATAAATGAGGTTCTATCACCAATTTTCACTGTCAGCTAACATGATAACATCCTAAAACTGTCTTCTTTTTATCAAAACACACACTTTGAACTGGGATGGCATCAGCTGCCTGATCTCTCACCTTGTGCATCGATTTGGAATCTGTCTGCTAACCACACAACTATGTCTTCACCTGAGGAAAAAGGACTCAAGGTCAGAAGTAACAAAGAATCTATGGAAATAAACAACACTAGTCAAAAGGGCAGCGTGAACAGCAAACAACTTTAAATATACTGTATGTTGTTTATGTCCATCAGTGCATGCCTGTAAATGCCAGAAAGCTAATGTCAAAGAGAGACATGGAAGGAGAAAAGGGAGGAGGAGAAGGATGACAAGTGAAGAAGAGAGAAAATGACAGAAAGGCAAAGGAAAGAAACAAGAGGAAGAAAGAAACTAAGAAAGGAAAGCTTGTGAGATGAAAGAAAGGGGGGAAGGGGGAAGAAAAGGAAACAGGAAAAGCAAAGGAATCAGAGATGGAGAGAAAACAAAACAGCAAAGAAAGTGAGAGAGGGAAGTGGAGAGAGCAGCAGAGAAGAAGACTTTGGTATGTTTTCATTCATTCAGCTGCGGGCATTCAAAGCTTGCAGGTGACGTAGAAGTCTGGGTTCCCTCTCTTCTCCTCCTCCACCACCTACTGCCTGCATTCCTCTTGCTTCGGGCGCTACATGTTTGTTTCCTCTCGCCTGCTCAATCATCATCCTCCTCCTTCACCTCCTACTTCTTCCCTCTCTCTGTCTCTGAGACCATGGGGTTGTCATGGAGATGAAATCTGTAGCTCCAACACCGTGGTATCCTCTGGCGAGGTTGTGCAGGTACAGTCACTCAACGAGCCGCTGGATAAAAATCAAGCCACTGTAGTGTATGTGAGAGTGTTTGTGTCCACTTTACCAGTAATAGCATGTGGTATTGTGGTGATAACCAGTCTCTGAGGCTGTAGCTTCACTCCCGTTGTGGGGTCCTGCATCTCGAGGACCACCTTCTCTGCCTGCACAAAAAAAGGTTGTGAGGAGGTGTCACATCAGAGCTCACAGTGTAGGTTTTTGGGGCAGCAGATTTGATTGTAAATCCTAAATTTTGATCAGTGAAATTCACATGACGGTGATGATGATCATTAGTGTAACCTCGAGCATGCACAGCATTACCATTAACCTCTTTTCTACTTAATGAAAGGCAGAGAAAGCTGCATTAAACTGTGTCTCACTGATTAAAAAAGGGCAAATTTCCCCCCTGGGATGTTAAGACTTGATGTGTAAGCTTGTAATTAATACTTCCTATCAGACAAATGCCGAATGATTCGGTTTCTGTTTCTCTCCAAACAACTGTTCAGCTTTTTAGTCAAATGACTGGATTACAGTTTTAATGCTGCATTAGAAAGTGGTGAGAAGCGAGATGATGGGATTGTTTCAAGCCCTGATCTCATGGCTTTTGTTTGGCTTGTGTGGGAGGTTTGTGATGACTCACTGCCCTCTAAACAGTTTTTCAGCCATCATACCATCTGATCCCAGAGCTCCCCCACAACTTAGATGTGTACGGCAGAGGAAGAAATCCTGTAGTACATTAATTCACTTTGTGTGTGTGTGTGTGTGTGTGTGTGTGTGTGTGTGTGTGTGTGTGTGTGTGTG